CAAGTCACTTTTAGATTGTTTCTAGATGATTAAGTCAATTAACCCAATTTCAACCTATATTTGAATACCATAATAAATCAAAAACAGTAAATAAACAAGAGCACCAAAGATGATCATAGAGAAAAACCTTCCGCAAATGATAAAAGAAAAAAAACTCCTAGTCCAAGCCAATAAAATATACTAAAGACAAATTGACTTACAGTATGATCCATATTCAACTAACCCTTAGTACTCCCTGACCTATTTCTTGTAATCACCAAGGCCCTCCTGGACTGCACGCTTCTGTACCAACTCTCGACCTTTTGGAATTATCTATCTCATGTAGATTACTAAGAACTCTTTGATCTTATCCTATTGATTAGATTATTACAAGTTACAACCATTTCTTTCGTAATCAAAGTATTATTTTCCGAGTCACTCGAATTGATAGACCACAGGAATGTGAAACGACTAAGACAAGCAAAATATACAGCATCAAAAACTCGGACTTGAGAATCATTGTTTGCAATCATAAGCCTCTTTGAGCCATTGCCAAGAAAATTAAGAAAGACCATCACAGTTAAGAATTCTCATGCCAAGGATGAGCAGATAAAAACTTAGAGAGCACTTGAATTTAAATTCTTACTAGGATTGTGATATATATCCACCGCGTTAGTAATAACATTTTCAACAGTGGATATTTTTCCGTAAAATGAAGCACAAAGGTAATGCACAAATGAATTTTGTAAAACTCAAAATAGAATATAAAAATTAAAGGAATGCAACTCGCTATGGTTGACACTATAGCTAGGTTTGGCAACATTAGTACGTACTAATTCTTTACCCCTTCGAAGAAGAGAGGACCAGTGCATTACAGAATAGTTTTGCATGAGATACACATCCTGTTTTGAGGTAGCCCAAAAGAGATTTCTCAGCTGAAAGTGAAAAAGAATAGTTAGTATGCATTTCAATTAAAACATCGAATTATATATATGTCCAATAAAAAGAGTAAAAAATCTGTTCATTGTCCAGAAAATGATTAATCAGTAGAACATGGAGCAAGACTTTCGTATTCAAAAAAATTAAAAGATCCTAAACAGAGGGGCTTTTCAACATCCAATCAAGACTTTCGTACAAGGAATGAATTATATGATAATATTTATAACGAAAAAAAAGAAGGAAGTATGTGTTAATTTTGAGAGTGCTCCAATTACAAGTTCCTCGACTCAGAAAGTTCGTTACATATTTTTTTTTATTAACTTTTTTTATTTTTGCTATTAAAGATATACCAATATCTTGACGTCTAAATAATCAAATCACTATATACAATAAATAATTCTCATTACAAAATATTTAAAGTTCTACCTCTAATATGAAATAAATAAATATAGGTGTAAAGTAAATTGTGTCAAACTAGAAGCACAACTACGAGCTTTTTTT